CTGAGGGACTCTGAGCAACACCTAACCCAGTTTTTATTCTAACTTCTTCCTCTGGTTCTCCTCCCACTCTGTGCCTCCAAGGTGATGTCATTCCCTGAGATCCCTGATGCTCTGAGCAGCTCTGCTAGGGAGCTGCACTTTTCACTTGGGCTTCTTGGCAAGGCTTTCCTTCCAGTCAGATTTGGCTGTGTTTCCATCATTTGTGGGAAATGAAATCTTCTGAAGTGGAGGGCAGGAATTAATGCTCCAGACACCTCTGCCCTTACTGACAACCTGGGGACAGTCCCTGTGCCCTCAGGGGATGGTTTGGGTTGGGAGGGACCCCAGAGCCCCTCCAGTGTCACCCCTGCCATGGCAGGGACACCTCCCACTGTCCCAGTGTCCAGCCTGGCCTTGGGCACTGCCAGGGATCAGCTGAGACTAAATTCAGTTTTTTCTTTGCCACTGAGGGACCAGTTTGGTTCCTGCCTCTCAGGAACAGCAAGGTCTGCACGTGGAATTGGCTGCCAGCAGCGCTTCCAGCTCACAGCCCAGACTGATTTCCATGGATCTGAGACATCTGAGAAGCCCCAACCCTGGAGCTGGACATGGCACAGCCAAAGAGCTCCAAACAGTCCTGGCCATGCCCATGGCAGTGTCCAGCTCTGGGAAAGCACAGCTGGGGACAGCCCAAACCCCATCCCTTTCCCTCTGCTCTCTCCAGTGGCTGCTGAGAGGAGTCAGGAGCTGGAAGTGGAGCTGGCCAGGAGAGGAGGGGCTCTCAGAGCTGGGCTCCAGGCACTCCCACCCCCATGGATGTTCCAGGCACTCCCACCCCCATGGATGTGCTGCTGGGGAACCAGGGGGAAGTCTCCCTGTGCCCTGGGACTGCCACCAGCACTGCTGGGACAAGGACAGAGCAGAGGGACAGGCAGGGACGCACAGCCCTGCCCCTCCCTCTGCTCTGAGCCAGCAGCACCAATGTCACCTGGCTGTGGGAATATCAGGGATTGGGAAAGTCCCAGAGCCATCAGTCCCCAACACCTTCCCTGAGCACCTGCAGGAGCTGGGATTCCTCTGCAGGTCAGGAGAGGGGAGGATTAACTATTAGCTAATTCTTCAACTAATGAATAATTCATTGGACATTGACTCATTCTTCCCTGAGAGAGAAGGGAGGCCCTGCCCAGAGCAGCTGGGGCTGCCCCTGGATCCCTGGCAGTGCCCAAGGCCAGGCTGGACACTGGGACAGTGGGAGGTGTCCCTGCCATGGCAGGGGTGACACTGGAGGGGTTTTAATGTCTCTTCCATCCCAAACCATTCCAGGATTCTGTGATTAACCAGGGACTTTTTAATTTTATTTCCATGTTCCTCAAAGTGTGTTTTAATGACTTCCCTCCAAGTTTTTCATGTCACACATCTGGATCCCATTAGCTGTTTAAAATTAGGATATTTTAAGCTCATGACTGCACAGTTGAGGGGGGATTTTATATTTTTAGCTCAGCTTGATTTTATTTTGAGGCCAAATGAGTAAAGTGCAGCTTTTCCATCTGGAGCTGCAGAGGTCAAGCAGATGAACCCATGGCCATGGACACAGCCCTGGAGCAGCTCAGGCCAGGCTGGACACTGGGACAGTGGGAGGTGTCCCTGCCGTGGCAGGGGTGGCACTGCCAGCCCATTCCAGGATTCTGTGGTTCCAATGATCTGATGATTTGCAGGAGGGGCTGACCCCAGGTCCATCTCTCAGCACAGGAGACACCCAGGACATGCAGGATCTGCAGGAGCACAGTGTGAGCACTGCAGCTCAGTCACAGTCTGCCGGGATCCACAGACCCAGCATGGGCACAGCTCTGCTCTTCCTCTGCCTCTGGACTCACCCCAGGGATTTTTATTTTCCCCCAAATCCCAGCTGGCCCTGCCCTGAGGCCATTCCCTGACACCCTGTCCCTGTTCCTGGGAGCAGATCTGACCTCCCCAGCTGCTCCCTCCTGTCAGGTCCGAGGCATCCCTGGATCCATGCTGGGTTTGCTCTTTGCAGCAGCTCCCTGCAGGAATTATTCACTCATCATCCTCTTGAGTGAACTCTCAGGAAATGGATGTTGCTGCTGCCCCTCCTGCCCGGATTCTTCATCTCTGCACTGAGGAGAATTGTGTGAGCGGTGGTTTGGGGTTTGCACATCTGTCCTGGAAAGGGCTCTGAGGTCTCTCCTCTGTGCCAGCATCACTTCTGCCAACTCCTTGTTTTTAAACAACAGCCAAACAGTTTTTAGCAGCCTTTTGTTGAAATTCTAGGGAACGGTGAGGGAACTCTTTTAACAGCAGATTTTCTTTTCTCTTTATTCAATGTCCAGAGAATCCCAGGGAGTTTGGGACCTGCTTTGCCTCTCCAGGTGCTGCTCAGACCCTGAACTTTTCCAGCATTTTATTGACCTTCATTTCCCCCCAGAGCAGGAGCCAGATCTGGTTTACAAACCTTCCCTTCCAAGCAGGGACACAGCCTTTGCCTAAAGCCAGCCCTGGGGAGGCAGCAGCCTCTGGGGCCCTCAAAGTGGTGATCCTGTGCTCTGGCACCTTTTCCACGGGCAGGGAATGAGCCATTTCTGCCCCAGACTGTGTCAGATGACATTTCAGGGGCTGGAATCGCCTCCTCTGTGCTGTGTGTGCCCCCAAATCCTGCTGTTCCCAGGCTGTGTTCTCCAGGCACACCGGAGAGCTTTGGGGCTTGGAATTCCTTCTTATCCCTGTGTTTCAGTGGGATGCTGCATTATTCTGGGGAGGTTCCCCTCTCCTTGGGCACTGAGAGGATCCTGCTGGCTGCAGTTAATGAGGAGCTGCCTCGTTATCTCCTGGCTCCTTCCCTGCCCTGTGCTGCTGTGCTGGGAGCTGATTGCTCAGGAAGTGTTTTTTTTATTTTTATTAATTGCCATATGTGTGACTCTTGATTGTGCAGGGCCACCCCACCACCAGACCTTCCTCGTTTGGTTCCCCTGATCCCACGGGGGTTTTGTCACCTCCTGAACTCCTGGCCTGAGACATTCAGGAATTTGCTGACTTTTCTGAATTTTCTCTTTGAGAGAGAGCTCCAGGGAGAGCTCAGAGCCCCTCCAGGGCCCAAAGGGGCTCCAGGAGAGCTGGGGAGGGACTGGGGACAAGGGCTGGAGGGCCAGGAGCCAGGGAATGGCTCCCAGTGCCAGAGGGCAGGGCTGGATGGGATTTGGGGCAGGAATTGTTCCCTGGCAGGGTGGGCAGGCCCTGGCACAGGGTGCCCAGAGCAGCTGGGGCTGCCCCTGGATCCCTGGCAGTGCCCAAGGCCAGGCTGGACACTGGGACAGTGGGAGGTGACCCCAGATCCCAAGATTTGGGATGTCCTGTCCCAAGCAGGTTCATTCAAGCGACTCAAGCTGCTGCTGTTGAATTCCCATCCCCAATTAGCTGTTGGTAATGAGGCTGTCAAAGATGAAATCACCTGGAGCTGGAGGCTGTGCTCCAGGGACTCCGTCTAGCTTGGACTGGACTCGTTCCACGTCTCACCTGCTGGGAATACACTTTCCTTTCCTGGGATATCCTGTGTGTTCCCGTGTTTCCTTTGGCAGAGGAGCCAGTGGTGGTGCTCTCCTCTTGCTGTGCCCCTCGCGCTCATTCCCGGTGTGGATTTGGAGCTGCTCCAGGCTCTGGGATTGCAGAGGGACAGAGCCAGGCACAGCCCCGGCTGCAGAGCAGCCATGGAGCCTTTCCTCCATCTGCAGGGGGAGAGGAGAGGAGGGGAGAGGAGAGGACAGGACAGGACAGGACAGGACAGGACAGGACAGGACAGGACAGGACAGGACAGGACAGGACAGGACAGGACAGGACAGGACAGGACAGGACAGGACAGGACAGGACAGGACAGGACAGGACAGGACAGGACAGGACAGGACAGGACAGGACAGGACAGGGACAGGGACAGGGACAGGGACAGGGGCCAGGCTGGAACAGCTCCTGGGACAGGAGGGAATCTCCACACCTGCTGGAGCTGCTGCTCCCAGGAGGCTCCTGAGCTGCTCTGACATGGCATGGGCAAGCTGGCATCCTGTGCCTATATTTATATTTATATCTATATCTACATCTACATCTATATCTACATCTATATCTATACCTATATCTATATCTATATCTATTTTTATATGTCTATATTATATATAGATTTTATATATATAGATATCTATTTATAGTTAGATTTTAGATTTATATAAATTGATAGATATATAGAAATATATATTAAAAATATATATAAAGACGTAAAAATATCTATATTCCTAACTATATCTATATATTAATTATATATTATATAAAATATATTAATTATTATATATACTATGTAATATAATATAATACATATTAGGTAATATATTTTATATAATAGATATTTCACATTATATATTATACATTATGTATAATAATATATAATGTATGATATATAATATATAATATGCATGGTATTATATACTATAATTCATATTATATTATATTATATTATATTATATTATGTTATGTTATTTTTAATATATGTTTCACATTATATATTATACATTATACATTATGTATAATGATATATACAGTAAAATATATAATATATAATATGCATGGTATTATATATAATATTATATTATATTATGTTATTTTTAATATATGTTTCACATTATATATTATACATTATACATTATGTATAATGATATATACAGTAAAATATATAATATATAATATGCATGGTATTATATATAATATTATATTATATTTATTATATTTATTATATAATATGTATTATAAAAACAATACTGTGTATTATTTACATTAATTTATATAATCTATTATTTGTATATTGTTATTTATCCATTTATTATATCTATATTCATATTTGTTTTATATTTATTTCATTTTCTATTTGATTTTTATTTAATTTCTATTCCATTTCCATTTCCATTTGTGCTGTGTTCCTGTCGAGGTTTGTGCTGTGTTAATTTGATTTTCCCGTGTGCTCCCTGCAGTTTCGTCCCGCCTGGCGCCGGCAGCCCCCGCCCAGCCCGGCTGCCCCTCGCCATCCATCCCTGCCAAGGGCCTCTCCTCCTCACAGAAACACAGCAAGAAGGCTCTCAAACAGGTGAGTGAATTCTCCTGGCTTTCTCAGTCTCCTTTGGATTCTTTTGGGATCCTCCCTCGCGGGGAGCCCTGCTTATCTCAGTTCTTTAGCTTTGAAGAAAACTCCCGAGCTCCTTAGAATCTTGTTTCTCGTGTTTATTGGAAGGTGATCACAAACCTGGCAGGTCTCTCCAGACTGGCTGCACAATTTAAATCACTGTAATCTGGAACATTTCTTTCTTCTGATGGCACAACAAGGCCTTGTGGCTCACTTTGGCTTTGAAAGCACAAAATGACCCTGAACAACTCTTTCTATCTCTCTTCTTAGAAAGCTTTTGACCTTTGAACAAGAGGTCAGTTCAGTTTTGCCGTGTTTCCATCTCACTGGACACTCCTCCAAGCTCTGGGGGAAGGGGATGCATAGGAACTATTTAATAAAAGGAAAACCCTAACTCCACTCTTTTATCTTTATACCTATTTTTACCCAATTAACAACAGACATGTATATTATTTTTCTTAATGACCCAATGACCCATCACCTCTGTGCTGCACTGCGGCATTTTCTGTCCAATCACTCACTATCACCCAAAAACTTCTAGGAGAGGAACATGAAGGAGAAAGAAGAAGGGACAAGAGACAACACCCTAAATCCTCCATCTTGTCTCCTGTTCTCTAAACTAACCTTTTCACCCAGTGATTTAAGAAACTTTGTAATCTACACACTTACACTTTTACCTTTTTCTATCTAACAGTTGTTTTCATGTATCACCATGAAAACATGCTCATGAATTTCATGTTATATGAAATTCAGTGTTTTTCTGGATCTTAGAACTAAGTATCAGAAACAAGGGCACACACTCTGTATCCCAGACTCCAACACCAGGGTTTGAATGGAATGGAATCCCAGGATGGAATCCCAGGATGGAATCCCAGGATGGAATCCCAGGATGGAATCCCAGGATGGAATCCCAGGATGGAATCCCAGGATAGAATCCCAGGATAGAATTCCATGATGGAATCCCAGGATGGAATCCCAGGATGGAATCCCAGGATGGAATCCCAGGATAGAATTCCATGATGGAATCCCAGGATGGAATCCCAGGATGGAATCCCTGGATGGAATCCCTGGATGGAATCCCTGGATGGGATCCCAGGATGGAATCCCAGGATGGAATCCCAGGATGGAATCCGTGGATGGAATCCCTGGATAGAATCCCTGGATGGAATCCCGTGTTGGAATCCCTGGATGGGATCCCAGGATGGAATCCCAGGATGGAATCCCTGGATGGGATCCCTGGATGGGATCCCAGAGCTCCGGGGGCTGACGGCAGCAGTGTGCTCTTCAGTTCCTTTCCTTCTGCCCCAAAAACCACCTGCACTTCCAAAGTGCTTCTTTTACAGGAAGGCTGTGAAAGTCATTTCTCATCCCCAGTTCTCTGATGAGATCCTGTAGCTTCCTGCATTCCCGGGAAATGGGATTGGGAAATTCACTCTTTGGGGGAAAACGCACTGAAACTGCTCCCCTGGTGGGCAGCAGTTCCCTCCCAGGGAATTCCATGGCTGCTGCACATCTACATGCAGGGAAAGGAAAGGGAAGAGCAGGAATTCCATGGGCAGGGTCTGGAGAAGGAGAACAGGAATTCCATGGGCAGTGTCTGGAGAAGGAGAACAGGAATTCCATGGGCAGGGTCTGGAGAAGGAGAACAGGAATTCCATGGGCAGTGTCTGGAGAAGGAGAACAGGAATTCCATGGGCAGGGTCTGGAGAAGGAGAGCAGGAATTCCATGGGCAGGGTCTGGAGAAGGAGAGCAGGAATTCCATGGGCAGTGTCGGGAGGAGAAGGAAGGGCAGGAATTCCATGGGCAGTGTCTGGAGAAGGAGAACAGGAATTCAATGGGCAGGGTCTGGAGAAGGAGAGCAGGAATTCCATGGGCAGGGTCTGGAGAAGGAGAACAGGAATTCAATGGGCAGGGTCTGGAGAACGAGGAAGGAGAACAGGAAGAAGAACACTCTGTCTCTCCCCTCTCCCGGGTTCTGTGAGCAGGAGTGACTTTTCCATGCCTGCTGTGGATCCTGTTCCCTGTGTGCCCAGCAGGGAGTGGGAGCTGTCTGTGCCTCAGCTTTGCTCCTCCTGCTGAGGAATTCCAGCTGAATTATTCCCGAGTGTGGAGTTCCCCTGGCTGCTCTGCTCGGGCTCCCAGGATCCTTGGGAAGAAATTGCTTTATCAGGGCTGGATTTCCTCCCTGGGAGAGGGAAGGTGTGGGAGGAATCATGGATCAGTGTGGTGGGATCACGGGGTGCTCTCCCAGCCCAGCCTGATTCCCTGACACTCGGGATGCCATTCCAGAGTTTCCCTTGGGAAGGGATCTGCAGGGAGGGAGTTGCTGGTTCTGGGCTGTTCCTGAGGGGAGCAGGAAGGGAAGGGAAGGATGAACGGGAGCTGAGCTGGTGCCAAGGGAGGTGCCAGCTCCTGGGAATTTTCTGTTTCCTGGGGCTGATTCCCCACCGGGAGCTCGGTGTGTGCTGGGGCTGGCACTGCAGCCAGGCTTTCCTCTGAACTTCCCAGCTTCCACTTCCATCTGGATCCCCAGAAAATTGCTTCCCACTAATTGAGCAGGATATTAATTATCTCTGCATTCCCCAGCCCTCGTTAATCCTGGCTGGCAAACATTCCCCAGCATCCCCACAGGCTCTTCCCTTCCCAGGGGGATCAGGCTGCTCCAGGTGCCCAGGGAAGCCCCTGGATCCCTGGCAGCATCCCAGGCCAGGCTGGATGGGCCTTGGAGCAGCCTGGGACAGTGGGAGGTGTCCCTGCCACAGCAGGAACTTATAAAAAGTAGCTAAAAAGAGGAAATTGGGATGGTGGGAAGGAGAGACAGGGCTGGAAAACTCCACACTGTGAGTGAAAGGGGAATTAAAGGAACTCCCATGGCCTTAATCCTGTCTGTGCCCTGGATTATTGCTGGGGGCTGCTTGGGCTCAGCCCTCCCCTCTCCAGGAATGACAACATTCCCTGAGGGAAGAGGGAGTGGATTTCTGAGGGAGAATCCACCTGCTGCTGGACTGGGAGTGTGGATGGGGCTCTTCCAGAAACCAGGATTTGGTTCATCCACAGCCGAGTTCAGCCTGGGCAGTGCAGCTGGGCAGGGCCTGTGCCATGCCCACCTCCCCTGCATTCCTTAAATCCTCTGGAAAAATCCTGGCTTGGAGGTTTGCAGGGTCAGAATTGAATTGGCTCATCCTGCTGAAGATTCCACGACTCCCAAATGGTTTGTTTTGGAAAAGCCCTCAGAGCCCATGGAGTCCAACCCCTGCCAGCACTGCCAGGTCCCACTGGCCACGTCCCCAGGTACCACATCCACTGGGATTCTGAATCCTGAGGATTTCGCGTCCTTTTGGTGCTGAGGGGGTCAGAACACAAGGAAAAGCTCAGGCTCCTCCCCCTGGGAACAGCCCAGCAGTGGATCAGGACATGGGAGTTGTGTCCCCTCCATCCTTGGAGCTTTCCAGACCTGAGAGAGGCCCTGGCTGAGCAGGACTTGGAGACTGCTGAGGTTCTCTCCCACCAGAATTATTCTGTGACTGTCACAGATCCATTGAATGGTTTTGGTGGGATGGGACCTGAAAGCTCATCCCATTCCAGGGACTCCTCCCTCTGTCCCAGGCTGCTCCAGCCCCATCAGCCTGGCCTTGGGCACTGCCAGGGATCCAGGGGCAGCCCCAGCTGCTCTGGGCACCCTGTGCCAGGGCCTGCCCACCCTGCCAGGGAACAATTCCTGCCCCAAATCCCATCCAGCCCTGCCCTCTGGCACTGGCAGCCATTCCCTGGCTCCTGGCCCTCCAGGCCTTGTCCCCAGTCCCTCTCCAGCTCTCCTGGAGCTCCTCCAGGTCCTGGGAGGTCACAGTTCGGTCACCCCAGAGCCTTCACTTCTTCAGGCTGGACAATCCCAGTTTTCTCAGCCTTTTCCCAGAGGACAGTGCTCCATCCCCCTGTTGTGACAGGACTCGGTGCAATTTCGATTCAAAGAACCCCCAGATGTTTATAACAGAGATCAGGATGACAGGGAATTTAAAGATCCATCCAAGGAGCTTCCTCCTCACCTCCAGGAGCTGAGGGGACACAGGGAACACAGCTGGAATTGTGTTCCCTCAGGCAGGAAAAGCCTGAGGTGGCAGAGTGGCATTCAGCTGGGCACAGCAGGCAGTGCCAGCACCTCCCTGGTGCTCTCTGCTCCCTGGGCTTCACCCAGCAGCCTCTGAAAGCCTTTCCTGGCCTTGCTGCTGCATTTTGCTGATTCCTGTGGCTGCCAGAGCTCTTTCTATCTCTCTTCTTAGGAAGCTTTTGACCTCAATAACAAGAGGTCAGTTCAATTTTGCCATGTTTCCATCTCGCTGAACACTTCTCCAAGCTCTGGGGGAAGGGGATGCATAGGAACTATTTAATAAAAGGAAAACAGGATCCAAGGGGGGGTCCCCTGGATATCTCAGTCTGTCAGTCTGCCTGCTGTGTGTCCTTGCACTCTGACAGTCAGCTGGGCTGTGCCTTCCCCAGGAGCAGCTCCTGCACCTTCCTCCATGGATTCATTCCCTCTCCCAGTTCTGGCTGTGCTGTTATTGCTGTCCTTGCTGTTATTGTTATTATTATTATGGTTATTATTATTATTATTTAAGGCAGGGATGATCCCTAGTTAACAGTGCCCCTCCTTTGTGTCCATGCAGCACAAGACACCCTGTTACTCCTGTTCTGAAATCCCATGGAATCCTTCATCTGTTGCCATTTTTCTGCTGTTGAGGTCAGCTGGGTTTGGATTTTGGTTTTTGCAAACACAACCTTTGGTTTGCTGCTCAACTGAACCCTCCAGTGGGAGCCCCTGGGGCCCTGTCCCGGTGCTGCTTCGAGTCTTTCCTGAAGCAAAGGTTTTAGTTTTGTTCTGTTCAGTGTTCAGAGTTTTGTTCTGTTCAGCGTTCAGATCTTTGTTACTCTGCTGGTCGCAGCCCTTCCCAAGCGGGCCCTGGGGCGCTGCTCTCTCCAGGAGAAGGGATGAGCTCCGGGGAGCCGCTTTCACCTCACAGCTCCGTGTGCAGTCACTTCTGGAGCCAGCTCCAGCCCCAGAATCCCTTCCCTGCACCTCTCAGAGACCCTGTCCCTGAGGCAGCACAGGAGGGGATGCCCAGGATGCTCCAGGGAGCTGGAGCTGCTCCAGCAGGGAATTGGTTCAGTCGTGGTGGCGTTCCCGAGCCGGGGCTGCGTCCGCAGGCTCTGGGTGGCTGATCCCGGTTCTCCTGTCCCCGCAGGCCCTGAAGCAGCAGCAGCAGAAGCAGCAGCAGCAGCAGCAGAAGCAGCAGCAGCAGCAGCAGCAGCAGTGCCGGGCGGGAATGGCTCCGGGAATGGGGCCGGGAATGGCGCTGCCCTCCAGCCAGCACGTCCTGCTCAAGGCCAAGGGCGCCGCGCCCGGGAAGTCAGGTACGTGAGGACAGGAGTGGGACCTGATCCTGGGACAGGGCTGGGAATCCTGTCTGCAGCTTCCCTGGGGCTCTGTCTCAGCTCTGTCTCAGGGCTTGGCTCTGGTAGGGATGCACCAGCTCAGGACAGACCTTGGACACACCTCGGGTGCATCTGGGATAGATCTGACCGTGCCTTTGGCTGGAAAAGCTGCTCCCAGTGCTCAGTGACTTTCCCCGTCACCTGCACCCCATGCAGGGGCCTTCTCCTGGTCTTTATGTTTGGGGATTTCTCCTGGTGTTTATGTTTGGGGATTTCTCCTGGTTATTCCTGTTTGGGGTTCCCCTGGTGTTTATGTTTAGTGATTTCTCCTGGTGTTTATGTTTAGTGATTTCTCCTGGTGTTTATGTTTAGTGATTTCTCCTGGTGTTTATGTTTAGTGATTTCTCCTGCTATTTATGTTTAGTGATTTCTCCTGCTATCTATGTTTTCCAATGTGGCTCCTCATCCTGCAGGGTGGGTTCCATGCCCTGTTCTGATCTGGAAGATCCCTGAGGGGTTTCCAGAATTTGTCAGAAATCAGTGAGGTCACTGCTCTGCTCTGGCTGCTGCAGCAGGGCAGGAGCTCCCCTGCCAGCACCAGATTTTCCCTGGTATCCCAAATTCTTGGTGGTTATTTCCAGCCAGTTTTCCCCAATCTCTTTCCAGAGTAACTGAGTGCCTTGCCAAGGTGCTGGTTCTGAGCCACAGAACCATCAAATTCCGAAGTGTTTGGGTGGGAAGGGACCTCAGAGCCCCTCCAGTGCCACCCCTGCCATGGCAGGGACACCTCCCCCTGTCCCAGGCTGCTCCCAGCCCTGATCCAGATCCCAACAAAACTGCATCTCCAGTCCCAAATCCCAAGGTTTTTTCAGCCATCGAGCTCTCCAGTAAAGCCTGGTGCTGTGGGTAATTCATTAATATTAATTATTGACCCCATCCCAGTCCCAAAACGCCTTCCCTTGCAAGCTGTCAGTCCTTCAGCTGAGGAGCTGTGCTGGGAGCAGGGACAGCTGCCTGTGGAGTCAGGAATTCTGCATCTGCCTCTGGTTATTCCCTGCCAAAGCAGCGGGCACGGGAGCTGGGACTCGGGCAGTCCCTGCTGCCCAGTTCCCTGGCACCTGCTGAATTCTGGCTTGGCACAGGCTCAGTGTCCCAGACAATCCCTGGCAGGGCTCAGCGTCCCACCCTCAGTCCCTGCAGGCAGCTGGGATGTGGAACAGGGCCAGCTTGTGCCAGGGAGATTCCCAGTGTTCCCATTCCATCCCAGAGAGGAGCAGCAGTCCCGGGGTCAGCATTACAAACATCTGCATTTGCACATCTGGGGAGAACTGGAGGGAAATTCACAGCAGGGCAAGGATTTTCCAGGAGCCTTGAGAAGCTGGGAGTGCCTGGGAGCTGCCCTGGCCCTCAGCCTGTCCCGGGGCAGGATCTGGGATTCATTCCCGGTGAATTCCCTCCTCCCTGCAGTGAGCAGAGACCAGTGAGTCTTGCCATGGAACTCCAGCCTTAGGATGCTTTCCTTAGGCTCAGGCCAGGATCTTTTCCTGCTTCCAGGTGGGATCAGCGTGTTCAGGAGCCCCCTCAGGCTGTAAATCCCTCCCTGCCAAGGCCTGGAGGGCTCCTCGTGTGTGTGTTTCTCCAGGAAATCCCTTTCCCCATCCCTGAGATGCTGCACAGGGACAGCTCCCAGCAGGGGCAGCGGGAGGTGTGGGGAGAGAGCAGGAAATGAAATGGGCACGGGGAGGGAACAACGTTTAGTGGAAAGCAAGGCACAGATTCCACAATTTCAGGGGTTGATTCAGAGCTGGAACAGCTTGTGTGAGGAAGGGAAGGGAGGGAGGGGAACCAGGACGGGAATCTGAGCACTGGGAAGAGGAGGAGGAATTCCCCAGGGTGGGCAAGGACAAAAGCTGCAGTTGAGGGAGAAGTTCAGCAAGGACATGAGAGGTGTGGAGAGATTTCCCTGTCAGGAGCTCTGCCAGGAGCTCTGTTAGCCCTGGAAATGTTCATGGGACCATGCCTGGGCCGGATTAGGTGGGAAATAAATCAGGATTAACTGGGAAATGGATGTGCCTGTCCATGCCTTTGTTTTGGGATGCTCTGGTGGCTCCAAGGGATGTCCCACATTCAGCTGCTGGGCAGGAGGCACTCCAGGAGCACAGGAATGTCTGTCCTGGAGTTGCTGGAGCTGCAGGGGTGGCTCTGGGTGTGGGAGACCCTCCATTCCCTGCAGGAATATCCCGGTGCAGGATCCCTCTGTGCATGCCCGTGTTGCAGCGTCTCCCTCTCTGGCAGGCTGGGAAGGGAAGCAGGATGGACATTCCAGCAGCCCCCCAAACTCCACGTCCAGCTCCTCGCCCTCAGTGAAGCTGGAGAACTCCCTGCCAGGGCTGGGCAAGAAGCCCTTCCCGAGATCCGACAGGCTCCACGCACGTAAGAGATGGATTTCCCTGCTTTCCCGGGGTTTGGCTGCTCCAGTGCCAGGACAAAAGCCTAAAACAGCAAAAATGGAGTGAAGTGTGCTAATTCCATTGCTGAGGGACCCTGGAAGGTGCTGCCAGCCTGCTGGGAATTGGGATAAATAATTCATAATGCCATCTTCAGATCAGCCCTTCCCAGGCCTCGTCAGCTGGGCCTCTCCTGGGAATTCCCAGCTCTTGGAGAGCACAAAAGGACCTGCATTATTTATGGGTTTTTAATGTACTTACACGCTCCAATAACATGAAAAAGGAAAAGAAGTTCCTCCCTGGATCTCCATCCCTCACACCCCGCTGGATTTGGCTCCCAGGCTTTGCTGGAGCTGGGGCTTGCTCAGCCCTCCCGACCTTCCTGGTTCCTTTTACGTTCTCCAAGGGTGGGTTTGACCATGGTGAATTTAAGGATATTCCTACAAAGTCCTGGAATGTCCTGGGGGGGAAGAAACCCACGAGGATTATGAAATCCAGCTCCTGGTGCTGGCCAGGATACCCCAGCAATTCCAGCCTGGCATCCCAGAGTGTCCAAAGGCTCCTGGAGCTCTGCCAGCAGCCTCGGGGCCGGGACCATTCCTTGGGGAGCCTGGGGACCTCTGGGGAAGAACCTTTCCTGAGATCCAGGTGCTCCCTCCTTCTGAGGTGTCTATCCCAGACTGTCACTGTGGAAAACAGGCACTTCCAGAGGGCAGGGATCTCCAAAAGAAACCCCCAGCAACAAACTCACCTTAGCTGGAGACCTAAAACAGCAAATTGCCGTGGCCAGAGGGGGTTGTAGGAAGGCTCCTGCGAGCCCTGCTTGCCGGGGTGCCGAGGGAGGGGGCTGGGAGGGGAGGGGGTGTCCTGTTCCCGGGCCTGGTGGGGTCCCTGGTGCAGCAGCAGGAGCTCGGGGGTCGCTCCCAGCCCGGGGAGTGAGCGGGGTGTGCTCCCTGCAGGGCAGCTGAAGAGAGCGCGCTGCGCCGACATCGACGTGGAGACCCCGGACTCCATCCTGGTGAACACCAACCTGCGGGCTCTGATCAACAAACACACCTTCTCCCTGCTGCCTGCCGAGTGCCAGCAGCGCCTGCTGCTGCTGCTGCCCGACGTCGACAGACAGGTGAGGGCTGCACGTCCCCCTGCGAGCCCGGGGAGAGAGAACCCAGCCCAGGGGGAGCTCCTTGTGGCCTTCCAGGACCTGAGGGGAGACAAGGGCCTGAGGGACAGGAGCCAGGGAATGGCTTCCCACTGCCAGATGGGATCTTGGGCAGGAATTGTTCCCTGGCAGGGTGGGCAGGCCCTGGCACAGGGTGCCCAGAGCAGCTGGGGCTGCCCCTGGATCCCTGGCAGTGCCCAAGGCCAGGCTGGGCTGGGCTGGGAACAACCTGGGATGGTGGGAGTGTTCCCAAATCCTCCAGAACTGGAGAAATAACCCCCCCAGCACTGTGGTTTTAGTGTCACCCACCGAGGCATTGCTTTGTTCTGGGCAGTTGTGTGATAAAGTCCCAGCCCCACTGAGCAGGGTACAAAGCTGGGCCCAGCAGAGCCAGGCTGGGGCTGCTGTGTTGGTCCTGGGTGAGCCCAGGCAGGTTCCCAGGGCTGTGGGCAGGGCTGTGCTCCAGCTGGGCCTGGGGACACCGGCCCTGCAGCAGTGGCCTGGGGCTGGGGCCATGAGCTGTGGCCAGCAGGTGACATGGGGCTGTGGCCAGCAGGTGACCAGGGGCTGTGACCAGGGGCTGTGGCCAGCAGGTGACCAGGGGCTGTGGCCAGCAGGTGACCAGGGGCTGTGGCCAGCAGGTGACCAGGGGCTGTGGCCAGCAGGTGACCAGGGGCTGTGGCCAGCAGGTGACCAGGGGCTGTGTCTCTCACAGGTCGGGGCCGACGGGCTGATGAGGCTCAGCAGCTCCGCGCTCAACAACGAGTTCTTCACCTCGGCTGCCCAGGGCTGGAAGGAGAGGCTGTCGGAAGGTAAAGGCTCCCCACGTGTCCCCACGGCCGGGGAGCGCCTGGGGAAGCCTGGGGGATGTTCCTGGAGGAGCTGGAGCTCTGCAGGGCCTCACTGCAGGCACGGGAGCCGAGGCAAGCCCAGAACCGGGGGGCTCCAGGCCGGAGGGGGCTGCAGGAGGAGTTCTGTGTTGAAATGACAAAGCAAATCTCTGGAAGAGATGAGGAAAGAAGGAAAAACGTGTTTCAAATCTTCTGAACTGGCAGCAGAGCTCTGGGGCATTCTGGAGTTGTGGCACCTAAACACAGACACCGCTGAGGGGACAGAGAAGGGAAATTCTGTTCCAGAGCAGAGCACGGTGTCACCAGCACAGGGTGCTCAGTCCTTTGAGCCATCCCTGTGGATGTTTAGGTGGGATATTGGGGGAAAATTCTTCCCTGTCAGGGTGGTGAGGCCCTTACAAGTCTGGCCAGGCTGTTCCCTCTCCTGTCCCTGTTCCCTGGGAGCAGAGCCCGAGCCCTCCTGGCTGTCCCCTCCTGGCAGGGACTTGTGCAGAGCCACAAGGTCCCCCCGGAGCCTCCTTTTCTCCAGGCTGAGCCCCTTTCCCAGCTCCCTCAGCCTCTCCTGGGGCTCCAGCCCCTTCCCAGCTCCGTTCCCTTGGCTGCCCCATCCCACTGGAGCAGCCCCTGGGGCTCAGCTCGGGGCTGAGGGCAGCTGCAGCATCCAGGGCTCCTGGGACACCCACCTGAGCCTGTGCCCCGTTTTCCAGCCCTTTCCTGGCTCAAATCCCTTTTGCATCCCACAGGAGAGTTCACCCCGGAAATGCAGCTCCGGATCCGGCAAGAAATCGAGAAGGAAAAGAAGGTGGAGCTGTGGAAGGAGCACTTCTTTGAGAGCTACTACGGGCAGAGGTGAGAGCTCAGCTGGCTTCTGGGCTTCTCCATCCATGAACATTGGGTTTCATCAGCCCTGGAAGCTGAAGGTTCCTGGCTTCAGCTAGTTCCAGGAAACCGGGAAATGCCAGCGGGATCCAGGTTGGGTGTGAGGTGTTTGCCTCACCCTTTATCCAGCGCAGGGTGTCCAGGGCTTCCACACCTCTTCCGCCTCCTTGCTTGGAGCCACCCCCTGGATTCTCCTGGAGCTGGGGCTCTGGAGCTGCGTGTCCCACCTCAGGGTCAGGACCTGCCTTCCCACATCTCCAATCCCACACCACCTGGTTAAACCCCCAGAGCTGCAAAGCTTTTATTCTGTGCCTCCTCTTGCTTCAGGATTTCCCCATCTTTTGTGGTTTCTGTGTGAGGTACTGAGACACCTGGACAGGAGCACACACATGTAAATAACTGAACAGGAATTTCTAATCGTGTGCTGTGCCAGGTTTGGAGTAACTTTTCCCAGACATCACTCTGGGAATTAGATTCCATGTTCCTCTTGAAGAGGTGGTGGGAGCCCTGGCCGTGTCCCTCCCTGCCAGTGTCACCGTGTGAGCCGGGGCTGCCCCGTGCTGCAGAGGGGCTCTGGGGCTCACACAGGAGATCCTCACTGCTGGCCAAACCCTTCGGATTTGCACCTTGGAAAACCGGTGTCTGGAAAAGGCCTGGAGCCACCCGGTGTTCCACGTATTGCATTTAGCTGGTTTTAATCTCTGATGCCGATTTCTGTTTCCTGTGGGAGGATTATCGGCAGGGAAGGTTCTCAGAATCGGGTGGCACAGAATCGGGTGTGTGAGACATTTATTTGGGGAGTTTATCTAGAGACTCCTGCCTCCGTTTCCCTCGCTGGGACGGTTTAGCAGGGATGTTTTCCAAAGCAAAGCCTCTGTTTTCCTTGGCAGTTCCGGGCTGAGCCCCGAGGAGTCGGAGCGGCTGACAGAGGCAGAGCCCGCCCGGCCCCGCAGCCCCCCGGGCCCGCAGCGGGAGCAGGGCTGGTCCCCGGCGGAGCCCGAAGCGCGGCCGGGCCCCGGGGCAGGAGCTGGCACAGGAACAGCGCAGGAGGGAGGAGAGGTCCCGCAGCCCAAGGCAGCCGGAGCATCCCCGGAGCGACGGGCGGCGAGAGCCGGGGAACGCTGCGGGCCCGGCCGGGACAGAGCCCGAGGGGACACCCTGCCCGAGCCTCCCCGCGGAGCCACCGGCCACGGGGCACACGAGCAGGGGAAACCCGGGGAGGGGAAGGAGGCTCCGGGGGCCCCCGGCAAACCAAAGAGCCCCGAGGCGGCCGAAGGAGCCAAGCCACAAAGCCCCGCGGCAGCCCCTGACGCGAAGGGCCCCGGGAGCGAGGCCACGGAGGTCGGTGTGGAGCCCCACAAGAGGAAATCGGAGAGCGGGGAGGGAGCTCCGGGCTCCCCGGAGAAGAAGCCCCGCGTGGCCGAGCCCTGCCAGCAGCAGCAGGCCTTTCGGAAGCAGCCCTTTCCCGGCACGGTGCCGCGGGTGCCCCCGCTCAAGGTGAGCAGGACCGGGACGGAGCCACGGCCACCGAACCCCAGGGGTTGGGTCAGAAGGGTCCCCAGAGCCCGTCCCGTGGGACAGGGAGAGCTGCAGGGCTCTGCAGGGCCGTGGGGACGCAGGTGCAGCGGCAGAGCAGGGCAGAGGAGCAGATGGCAGCACTGCAGCCCTGACGCTGCTGAGAGCCCCTGGCAGCGCTGCAGTCCTGCTGCAGGGCCACACCTCGGGAGCAGACACTGCTGAGCCCGTGCAAGAGCCGGGAAGGGAAGGGAAGGTGCGGGAAGGGAAGGGAAGGTGCGGGAAGGGAAGGGAAGGTGCGGGAAGGGAAGGTGCGGGAAGGGAAGGGAAGGTGCGGGAAGG